CTGCACAATCAGAGTAAGGCTTGTTTTTCTGTTCACTATGTCTGCCTCAGTGTCCTGCATTTGCCTCCTCTCAACACCTAATTGCAATGCTTGTAACTTGCAGTCTTTGATAGTGTTTTCTAACATGTAAATCTGCCAAATCAAATATGCAGAGCCACCCGCTGTGGTGACATCTCGTGAATAAGGGAGCAGCTGAAAGAAAAAGCCACAGTTTACACTTCAAATCACCCTTTCGACATGCTGTCCACTTGTCATGCCTCTCTGTTGGCCTCCTATCCATCCATCTGTCCAGCTGAACTAGCCAAAGACAGCTTTTCCAACACCCCTATGATAGCCTTTGCACTGTGAACTCTTAGTCCTCTTTCATTATGTGCAAGAAAAGCCTGGCATTTGATTTTTAAGCTAAAGGGAACTTAAAGGAAGTACAATCTTAACGACATTTATCCTATTACTTTTTACTCACTACCGAGTCATTTTTGAACAAAGCTAATTTAAAAAGTTAAAAAAAAAGAAGAAAAAAAGCCTTTTATTATGAAGATTGAGTGGAGGAACTGACTATGGGTGTACCTCATCTGTGCCAGTCTCCTGGTGATGACCACGCCCACACTAGACATTGCAGCAGACGTCACCTGGCCTGCATGAGAGAGACTGTCCCGTGTCCTCACATATCTACAAGGAGAAATTAGCAGTAGAAGTCAGGATCTGAATTAAGAAAAGTCTCTCGCTATTGTAATATATTACATAACAGGCAGGTGCATACAGGGAGCACAAAGGTATTAACTCAGACGTCGTTAACAATAAGCTCATAGACGTCACTGGCGACAGTCCATCTGGCTGAAGCAGATCCCTCACTCTGCCTCTAATGAACGCTTCAGGCTGGTCCTCCTGTTTCCCGTTAATACTGCTGCTCCTTGTGCTAAGTCAGGCTGTGAGGCTATTAACGGGGCACCAATCCTATTTGACAAGGAAAATCCCATCCCTTGTTTCTTTGAAGAGATCCCTCTTTACCATGTGAGTGCAGGACAAAACTTTGGAAAATCCCTGCGTCATAAAGCATAGTAAGAACGTTTATTATTTTGTGCATATAATGAGGAACACTCACACACTGGATTGGCTGATGTCATCCAGAGTTGCAGAGGCTGTGAGATATCTGAATGGACAGAACATGCACAGGTTGACAGATTATTGCGCTGACACAATAGAGAGCCTACGACAGTCATTAGAGTACTTTCCATGGTTACGTAACAAAAGTGCACTAAGATATGTGTGGTAAGCAATCTATCACGACAGTGGTTTAGGTGTTTTCAACCAGTTAAACTATCAATGGTTTTCAAACAATTAGCAAACATTACTATGTTTATGAGGACCAAAGTGCACATACGGGGCTGAGGTCTGGACCTCTTGCCATCCTTTGGATATGCTCTGTTTGATGTTACCGAGCGGACTCATTCCTAGTTGCCTTCTGATGTCTGCTGCGTATTGTTCTTTGGCCAAAAGCACCTGCCTCAAGGCCTGAATTTCATCCTCTGTCTGCGAGAAAGAAAAAAAAAAAGCTGATGTTACACATATCAATTTTTCTTTAGAGCAGGGTTTCTATCCCACATTGTCCCAAATACCCCCATGAATAACTTTACTTTTGTAAGTTCAAAACGTAGAGCATCTAAGTCCTCCTCTGTAAGATCTGTGGGTGAAGATCCATTTCCCAGTATGCTCGGAGAGAAGTGAACAGAAGCTCCACCAAAACCTTAGAAACAGCAAAGAGGAAAAGACCAGATAAATTAAAAAAATCATATAGATACTTTCCTGTTACCTTTGACTATTTTATTAACAAAATATTGGCTATTGTGGTGTAACTGAAGCCCAGGTTAACTTAGTGTATATATATATATATATATAATGTACTTGTATCTGATTTAATATATGTTTTAATAGAAAAGGTATGCTGCATTAACCAAAGCTACAAACCATAGTATTTAGTGCTTTGATTGTGAAGTAGACAGGCCTTTGAAAAACATGCAAATTAACAACAAAATGCGCACTGGATGAAGAGTTCACATTTAATTAAAAACACCTAAGAGAACATATTCAGTGAGAATAAAAAAAACCCATCACGAACAATGAGGGCAATGAACTATAAGATAAAGCCATGTAAAATGGAAACGCCTATTACATAACTGTTTAGTTCCTGTTTATTTGTACAGATAAATACATAGAACCTCATCTAACTTAGAAATGCCTTTAAAATGCATAAAACAACAACAAAATACACCAAATGTAGGTATAGATACACAGTATAGCATATACACAGCTAATGATATAGCTAATATAGATGTTATGTACAAAAAGCCACAGAAAAGCCTTTTATAGATACATATGAAACTTCTGCATACTTTTAACACTTTTTGTAGACATATATAAACAGACACTGGAGCTGTCCTCAGTGCTGAACTCTCCTCCCCCTCTTCCTGTACAAAAAACTAGCTAATAAGTAGCTGCTCTGCTAACAGCTAACCTCACCTGTTGCACATTTGTTGCTGTTAGCTGATAACATGAACCTTTAAAGTAAATGCATGTCGGTGCTAATTTCACACATGGTCCCATACAGACATGGCGAGACGGTCTTACCTTGTCTGCTCATTGCTGCCAGTTTCACCTCGCAAGTGTTTGACTGGCTAGCTGCTGCCAACTGTCCCCACTGAGCTCAGCAGGAGGCAGGCAGCCAGGATCACCGAGGCTGTTAATGGGCTTACACCCACACACATACACACCACAGGAACAATGATGACCACGAGCAGGATTTTTTTTTAAAGAAACCTATAGCACAATTAAACCTTCCTTAAAACTCACGCAAAGGAAAAAGAAGTGTCCTATCTAATACGACTTTATTACATAAAGTAGCATTGAACGTTGTCTTGCAAATTGGTGACAAAAGTATTTAGAGTTTTTTAACTGAAGTCAAAGGTTTAACCATCAAAACATACTTAAAACAACAAAAGAGAAAGATAATTATTAGTACTTATGTTGTACAATAATATACATCCCCAATTCTAAAATAACTTGTGTCATTGTGTAAATGTCATAAACCCATATGTTATCAACAGATCATAGAAAGCATATCCTCCTGAGAGCCAGCCAATTCATTGTAGTGGACAACAGCTAAACTGGAATATATATTTTTTTCCTTGGTTCTCAGGACGATATAAAATATTTAAACTGAGACAATGCTTCATTTTAAGAAAAGTAGTAGCTCATATTTAACTCATTTCATCAGTCAGATGATCTCAAAAAGATCATCAGTCTGCAAAAGCTGCATCTGCAAATTGTGGAACAATTTTGATAATATTCCTCAACATAAAATTGTGAAGACTTTAAATATATTTCCATTTACCCTTCATGATATCATCAAAAGATTCAGAGATCTTCAGGCCCACAGGTGGAACTGCATTAAAACAGGTATGATTCTATTAAGGAAATCATTGTCTGTGAACATGGTTGACCAGGCCACCCACACATGCAGATTAAAACCCATGCAAAGAAGAGGAGCAAGATGTTCACATATGCCTACTGTGTCCTTTAAATTAGTTTAACTAAAAACATGCTGCATCTAGCCTTATCCCCTGCACAGTATAGCTTCAAAAAACAAGGGTAAAATCACAAATAAAATCTATACTCATGTACATGAAATCAAAGTTTCAAATCAAGTCAAATTGCTAGTTTGAACAGTTGAGAGATGTTTTAGTATAAGGATCCTGAGGTAAGTTGGAAGAATGACTTGTCTCCATCTGCTGGCTAAACAATCCACCACACTATAAAGGTAAGGGATGATTTATTTGGAAGTCAGATTACTTTGTTTTTTAGTTAATATCCTTTTGCTTAAAAAAATTGATTTTTAATTACAGTTAGATACATTTGTTTATCTAACAAAAACCTTCACATGTGAGCAAAAATGTAATAACTGACAGCTGTTATGTTAGCATTTAGCATTAGCATTTCATTGTCAAAATTAATTATTAAATTTTTTTATTATTCTTTTTATATATGTGCAGTATATTTTAAATTAAAAGTAATAATATAATAATAATTTTAAAGACAAATTGGTGTAAAGGATTTCAACAGTGTTCATGCTTCTTATTTTTTAATATTTAATATGACATTTATTTAGTCATCTAGATGCTTACTTTTCTGCATGGTGATTGAAAATTTGACAGTACTTTCATATGTTACAGAAACTGTGAAAAACCAACAAGACACCATCAGCTGAAAAGCAGCTCCAAACTGATCGTGCAGAGTTTACAGTTGGCTGTAGACCGCCTTCATAAAGAAATGACAATGAACTGGGCCAAAGATTTTTTTATTTCATTGCTCCATAAGACCTGCTGCTGCTGATTTTCACTCCAGTTTGGCATACTTGAGCTTTTTCTTCTTGTTTTCCTTCCACTGACACTATTTCTGATGAGGCTAGATGGGCCAGTGGCCAAGTAGATGCATCTCTCATGTCCTGTATCAGGTTTAAAAAACAAAAATCCTCTGAAAATGGTCATATATACGGAGCCCCGCAGGGGACATGGGAGAGAAAAAAAAATTAAGACGGACTTTTGCGAGATCTCGCAAAACAAACTCAGGATTTCGCAAAAGTTTTGCGAGATCTCGCAAAACAAACTCGGGATCTCGCAAAGTCCGTCTTAATTTTTTTTCTCCCATGTCCCCTGCGGGGCTCCGTACATATACACCGACTGGACGGAAAAATTGGTGAAAAAGCAGCCATACCTTCAAAAGTCCAGACAACTATCACTCAAGACCTCTTAAAAAAAATTACAAATCTGGCTCCCTGGAAACAAAATATAAAGAAATGAAGGTTGGTTCAAGACTTGACATTAACTTGTTGGTTACTTGGCTTAAAACATTACCTGAGTAATATCATTACTACTACTGTAAATATCTGAAATCCGTGTCAAAACAAAAAACCTGTATGTAACTTAATTTGATAAAAACCCGAGTCAAAATGTTGAGGAACATTTATTCACCAAGAGCAAATGAGATCAATGATCCACTTGTTTTCTTCCAGACACACAGTTACCATGCTACAACATAAATGTTAAGGTTTATACTTTATATGGGCCAAGTGTATGTACAAGCGACCTTAACCATTAAACCATTCCTTGCAAAATTTAATGGCTACATTACAACACCATACCAGTTAAAATCATAATCGATCATCATCTGAAACATGACCAAGTATGAAATAAATAAAATTCCAAAAATGCATCATATAACCATTTCACTATAGTTACACTATATACTATATTGTCTTTTTATGGAGTCATTTCCTGATCATTGATCCATTACAATTTTTTTTTAAACACACAGTGCATTCAACTTAGAACATTTACAGTAGCATTTTTCAGTATCTCAATGAAAAAGCCATGACAGGAACATCTACGTTTCATCAAGGGTTACAGGAAACATGATACAAGGGCCACAGAGGTCAACATCCATACCGTTAATAGCAGAGGGTGGGCAACGGGAGCTCACCAATTGTAAACCATTAAAAACACATCATTAGCAGTCATGAAACTGACAAAGTGGCGAAGATGTTCATGGCGATTTATGGCAAAAATGTGTGGCAATATATGCAAATTCAGCAGTATGTAAAAATCTTTTACTCTGAGCTGCCTGTAGCACTGGCTCACAGATGATATGCCTGATGAGCATGGATTCAGAAAAGTCGACAATGAGGAACGATCACACAGCATCGGACAAAATATCAAAGTCATCGGACAGTTCAAAACACAGGAATGAGTTGAAAATAGAAATCCTCCATGCTAATTATTTTTTTTATAATAATAACAACTCAGAAGAGTGTAACATGTTTTTTTCCCTAAACCTTATCTAGAGTTAAAAACATGTCATCCTCCTAACCAGCACTGCTGCTGATAAATATCTGTTATTTCTACCTTTTAGCAGTTCTCATCAGAGCCAGCTGGATTACCTGGAGCTCCTTGGCTTCACGTAGCAGAAAAATAAAACTAACATAAAATAAATGTCTCTCAGTCTTAGTGAGCTGCAGTAGCTCTAAAAAATAGTTTTACTATTAGTACAAATCTTAGGTAAGGACAGGAAAACAGAAGAGAAGAAGAGCCTGGATGTGTCACCATAAAATAAATACAATTTATTGAAATGTTATTGTTTCATCTGCCCATTCTCATTAGTCGGGTGTCAGATAACGCTGTTTTGTCAAAGCCGAGGCTCATTTATGCACAAGGTGTCCTTTGGTGGCAGCTCACGATGCACCGGGTTATGGCACTGGTGACACAGAACTGTCACTTCCAACTTCATCATGCAAGGCTGCTATTTTAAAGGGAGGCCAACCAAGTAGTTTTAGGGCTTAAACCTAACTGAGTGAAAGCACAAATTAAAAGAGGAAAAACACAAAGTGCCATGGCCTCTCTCAGTCCCTGGTAGGATTCCGTGCACGAGCAAGCTAGAGGTGTGTCCTCTCCCCTGTTTGCTGAGCGGCAGGTTGGTGTACCTGTTTCCCATCAACTCATTACCTCCTGCACATAAAAGAGCCCATTTAACATGAATTCATTGCCAAAGTGCTCTCTCCAGTGCTCCAGTCTGTGAACTCATCTCTACGAGATAAGCAGATGACTCCCTGTGCTCTAATCGCTGCTCTCTGTTGGACTGCTTACATTTATGTTAAAATTAAAGCTCTCTGAATCTGCTTTTTGGTTTTCAACTTGGTAAACCATGATACATAAGTTCAAACAAGAACCAAACCAGGGTCTCCTCCATGACAAAACTACAACTTATGCACCTCCACCCCTTCAGCCTCCTAACAGAGACTTCATAGGTGTCTAAAACCAGACTATTAACTTTCACGGACTAACTATGGCCATTGCATTAAGGCACTGTCACCAAAGGACATTTTATCTTTAACCTGGAAACATTTATGGCATCTGACAAAACAACATTATATCACTCCTTGAGATAAGAACATGTTGGTTATGTATGATTTTTTTTTTTTTTTTTAACTTTATGTATCCAGTGTCATCGTCAATTTGTAGCTGGTGATATGATGAAACAACAGTGAACTGTACCATGGGGTTGAAATGTGCCATATTTGATTTAAAATACATTAAAAGACAATATGCATTAATGTAAAGTAACAATTATAACAACCTGCTCAGTGCTGCAGGAAAAACAAGGGGAAGTAGTCTGTCCTGCGATGAGGGGCTTTCAGAAGGAAGGAAAATGCCAAAGCAAATTACTAACTAAAGCAGAAACTCTAACGTCAGCAGAAATCTATAGCAAACTGTCTGCAAATAAAGCTCTGTGCCTTAATAACCTCATGATTGACATTAAAAACACTCTGGTGGGGGGCACACTAAAGACCACGCTGCAGGTCTGACAACATCAGCTGGCATTTTCAACTGAAAGAATATCGATTACGAATCACACGAGAAAAGTGTAAATATATATGACAACTTAGTTCTTGGAGGTTTGATGATGGTACCGACCACCTAAGCCAGCAAGCACTTCTCCAACCAGCACCTCCCTGAGCCATGGCTCTCTGTTCCTTTAGCATAAAACATCTGGTAAACTTTATCCCCTCCTCATGTACTGTACTCATTTGAAAAAACTGCACCTGTATGATGGGCTTTGCAAAGTAAAAATGTTGCAAAGGATTAAAGAAAACGTGGAGACCTTTTTTTTCCAAACAGTGCATGCTACACCATAATGCAAACTATGGGAAAGGTAAGGTAGGGCAGGCGACCTGTGTGAGTAAAGGCTGAGAGATACAAAAGAAGAAATAAAAGGGATTTCTTCTCGTACTGGCAGGGAAATACGTAGCGGACCGATCAGGGAGGGAGGTGTAAGGGATGTGAATTCATTAGTTCCTTTCATGGGCCATGCTTACTAGTCCCCTTCACCTCCGCATGGCTCTCTTTCTGAAGTGGAAAGATGTTTTGCCCCTTTCGTTCATCTCACTGAGGTGGAGCAGGGAAGCAGGCAGGACCGCAGGCCAGGATCGATGGGAACGGAGGGTTAGTTGAAGCCGGGGTCGGTGCGGTAGGAGTGGTGCCCATCTGATGTTAACTGGGTTGTCTCTGTCGCTGACGGCTGCAGCACTATAGGTTCACCACCAGCCTCTGTACGACAAACACAAGGAATATTTCAAGTGCTTGTCAGATGAAAAAAAAATCACTCACCGGACACATTGTTAGGTACACCCGTTTAACTGCATTTCAGGAACTGCTAATCTACTATGATTTTCCCACACAACCATCTCTATAGTTTACAGTGAAGAGTCTGAAAAGAGAAAATATCCGGTGAGCAGCAGTTCTCTGTATTCTTTGATGTCAAATAAGAATTGTCAGACTGTTTGAGGTGAGGGAAAGCCAACAGTAACTCAAATAAACACTTGTTAGAACCAAGGTATACAGATAAGCATAACATGATGAACCTTGAAGCAGATGTGCTACAGGAGCAGAAGAACACACTGGTTGTCAATCCTGTCAGCTAAGAACACGAAACTGAGACTACAATTCACACAAACTCACCAAGCTTGGACAATAGAAGACTGAAAAACATTGTCTGGTCCGATGAGTCTTAATTTCTGCTGCAGTTGGATGCTAGGGTCAGTATTTGGCATAAACAATGTAAAAGCGTAGCTCCATCCTGCCTTGTAGTTCAGCCTACCTGAGTGCTGCTGACTCTATGACCACAGTGAACTTGTCTTCAACTGGCTTAGTCCACCAGGAATCACAAAACCCAAATCATCTCAAAATATATGGTTTCTTGAATATAATAGTGTGTTTAGTGTACCCAGTGTGCAGCCAGCAAATCTCCAGCAACTATGTGATGCTATCATGTCAATATGGCCAGAAATCTCTAAGGAATGCTTCCGGCACCTTGTGGAATCTATACCAAAGAGAAATGAGGCAGTTCTGAAGGCAAAAGGGGTCCAATCAAACACTAGCAAGGTGTAAAATGTACAATGCTATTAATTAAAATACTTAAATAAAAATGATTCAATAGCCAGCAGCAAGACTTCTTACAGGAAAAGCAAACATAATACACCAGCCTGAATGCCTTTGCAAAGCCCTCCTCTTTGTTTTAGAAGAGATTTTAAGATTTTTCTTATTACATTTAAAGCTCTTTGCAGCCTGTATCCAGAAAACATATTGGAGCTGCTGTACCCATAACACCCCAAGTGTAGTCTGAGATCCTCAGGCAGGAGCCTGCAGACTGTTCCCACCCGTTTCCAGCAAGAGTTAGATTTTTTGGATTTTGAGTGTGTGTGATTTATGTGTTTTTGTGACACTCTTTGTAGCACTGTTATTTTTATAAGTGCTATACAAAAAAAACGTACTTGTAAGAAGAAAAAAAACAAACAAAACGGTGCTCGTTCTCACCTCTCTCATCAGATTGCAGCTGAGCCTCCAGGTCCTCAGGGGACACATAAAAGTCCTGCTCCTGGCCCTCTCGAGGCCGTGGTTTACATCTTCCACAGCAGCAGTTACAGCAGCAACACAGGCAGCAACAGAAGTAACAGCCAGTGGCCAGGCCACACAATACAAACAGAGCCTGTAGGAAACAGATTCATGAAATAAAGGTTAAGACAACAGGTGTAAAAGGTTGTACAAGAGCAAACAGTAAACGATCCTGTCTTACCTTTGCCCACCAGCTAGAAAGGACAAAGTAAGTGTTAACATTCTCCTCTCCAAACTGCTCGGCCACATATAGGCCTAGAGAGCCATATTTATCGTAAATGTTACGCTTCGTGGGGTCATTCAGGATGGCGTGGGCGTTGTTTATCTCCTTGAACTTATCTGCGGCCTCTGGATTGTCGGGATTCTTGTCAGGGTGGAACTTTAACGCCAGTTTCCTGCAGAATGCATCACAGTCAGCTTTACAGGTTATCAGACCTTTCTGTGAGCTAAGCCAGGTGACCAGAGTAAAGCCTCACCTGTAAGATCTCTTTATATCGTCCGTCGTGGCCATCTTCTCAACTCCCAACACATGGTAGAGAGACTCACCCGCGGTGGACAGAGAGCGCTGCCTCTGCTGCTCACTCATGATGCCTCACGTCCACAGGCTGCACACAGAAATGCACAAAATTAAGAGGCACTGCTTGGACTGTTTTACCAGGATGTACATTCATTCAACTAAAGTGAGGCCCTTGTGATTCCATGCTCTCTGCTGCAGGCAGGGAACAGCTGGTCCTGTGCTGTCTGGATGAAATACAGATGTCCAGTACTTACTAGAAAAATCCCAGCTGTGTGGGAAATATATGGGAAAAAAAGTCCTGGAAAGGGGGAAAAAATAGTGAATTTTTCTCCTTTTTTTATTTTGATGATATAAACTTTAGATTTTTAGCAGGAGATAAATTCTCCTTATTGATTTTTGAAGGTGTGACATCTTGGCAGGACCCCTGATGCATATGCTGTTTTAAGTAAATCAGCAGCTGACACCCATAGAGACAACGCACTGCAACAGCACAGGCTTCATCAGGTGAAGACCAGAAAACACACTCTTTAAAGAAGACAGAAGCCTCCAAATGGGTGTCATCTCGACACAAATCAACATCTACTACGCTGTTTGAAGCCCTATAATGCCTAATTTCTTAAATTTTCATCAAAAACTACATGTTCAGTCAAACGGCTGTCAAATTTCCACTCGTCACGAATCGCATCCCGCTCCAAAAGATGTCTATAGGAAGGATTAGACTCTGGGTACGATGCTGAGAGCATAATCTCCGTGCAAGCATCAGCAGCACTGCTATAGCGCACAGCATCCATGTTGGTTCGCTTCCCCGGCCTGCTCTTGATGCAAGACAGGAATGGATCGTCAGCAGTTATTTTCAAGGACAAGGACCAGAGTGTCGAGGAAGAAAGGAAATAATGGAAATGCAGGAGGAGGCTCACCTTTCAGTAGGCTCTAATGCGCTGCGAAGCTAACGATCCCAGCAGGTTATGATTTTAGACAGTGCAGCGTGACTATGGCCGCATCTCCTCGCACGTACCCGGACCCTCTCTGGCTCCCACTACACAACCATGGACAGTGCAGCAGTCCGCTGGCTCCGCCCCCCACCACCCTACGACGACCCGACGTGCGCGTGCACGACGGGGAGGATGCTAGAGGAAAGATGTGCAGCTCCGCATTTGTCGTGAAAGCTAAAAAGGGAGTTCCTTTAAAAAATATTACATTTAATTTACCCACTGGAAGTTGTATAAGAAAGGTTTAAAATGGATACTGAGTTCTATGGAGGGCCAGGAGTGACTAAATGGATTAATTAAATACACCATCAAATAATTAGTTAAATGTGTAATTAAATTAAATTGGAATTAATTAATTAAATAAATATTTAATTAATTAATTATTGACACATTTAATTAATTATTTACCGATGTATTTAATTAATTCATTTTGGCAGTCCTGACCCCTGGCTGTTCATGAATTAGTTTTATCTTTCAGCCTGGCCCGTCAAACTCAGGGGGCGGGGTTATCGCTGATCGAGTCAAAACTTTGGCCTGGTGGCCCCGTTTCTGCACACCAGCAACCCTGGCATGTAGAAACTAACTGAACTGTACTGAAAAAAACTGTTTGTGTGTCAGCAAACACGCTTTTAATATTTTTTTTTTTAGCCGAGAATGTAGTGGTTTATTTTTTCAGATATCTGGTCGGATTGTCAAGATACAGCCTCTTTGCAAAATTGCTTTGATGATTTCGGATTGGGTGAATGAATGAATGAATGTGATTGGTTGAACAGGTGTTCGTCATCTGTGTTCTGTGTTATCTGCATTTCCGTCAGAGTAGGAGACTCAGCAGCAGATTAGAATCAAGTATAATAAAATTTTTACATTTAAGAAATCACCAAATTAATCATTTGGTGATTTTGTGAATAATCAATAACCAAATTGACAATGCAACACACTGTTTGTGCAGAGATTTACAGCACAATGCTCACTTACAACACATTCCTCCATCATTGAGTGAAAATGTGGCACTTCCTGCTGATTTTAAAAATCAAACCAGTTTAAGTTTGTATTCTCTCAGCTGCAGACTAGCTGCTGTTTAAATGTTTGAGAGTTAAGATTGGATATAAAACAAACGTCAAACATAAACTCAGTCTACATACACACTTGATATGAGGTCAGCAATTACAGTGTCTGTGTCCTGTTTTAAGATCATATATGTAAAATTGTTGTTTAAATTATAGTTTCGGAGTATCGTACATAATGCCCACGTGAGGTGTGTGACTGTACACCACTATACGGAAATAAATCAGCTATTACTGAAATACACCTGCTATATAATAAACTATGATAAACATGTGAAGGTGTGATTAACATGTTTAGTTATAAAGGACAGCTTCCTGCCTTTAGTCTCATTCATGAGCAGTATTAGTTCTCTTCTAACATCCAGAAGTCTGCACAATGTGTTTCATAGTTTCTAACAAGCCTTTGAGAGTTAAAGGTAACATGACCGAAACACCAACATCAAAAAACAAAACAAAACACCTCACAAATCATATATTAACCTCATTTATTTTTATTTTACAGTTGAATAACTATTAACAAACAGATAATGTAATATTTCTGGACAGACTGGAGTCTTTCAGTATCCGAGGCTGCTCCTCTCGGTGGAAATTCACCTTCTCGTTCCTCCTTGCATAAATTATTTTTTTTAAATTCAAAATTCACGGTTAAAAAAATCCAACACATATGAGCACCAGATGGTTCAGTCTAACATGTGCTCCAGTGAGACATTAAACTTCAGTAAAATTATGCAGTTATGAAACTTAACTGTAATCTGAGCCAAACTGATTTTCTCAGTAGTAAATAAAACAGTGAAGTAAATGTGACCCAACAGACAGAACCTGAGTGAATTATGTCCAGTGTTTAAACTCTACTGAGAGCTAAAACTCAGCGGAGGTTTTAAAGCTGTGTGCCGGTGATTGGATATCAGCTGCTCATAAAGTGGGTTCGCCTATAAAGTGCTGTGCAGTTTTCTAAGTGTCCATCGCTCTCCGTTTAAATCCTGTTTGCCATCTTTAACCCAGGTCAGTCACTCTGAGGGAAACACAAGCTGCAGCAGCCCTGCGCTCAGGAAACAAACTACATTTTCTTAAATGGCTTAGAGAGCCATTTGAGCCTTAAATTAGAGTACTTTTAAATACAGGAACATGTTTAAAAGACAAAAATGAACATCCAACTTTGACTGTAGATATCTTTGACAGGATATCACTATTGGACTGTCTAACATGCCAACTTCCAGAAGGACTGAGACAAGTGACAAAAGAACAGAGCAGCATTCAGTGACCACCACAGATGAGCATGTTCCTGCAACATTCAGCATCTGATTCTTGTTCATCTGTGTGCTTCTGCTTTTGGTAAGTATACTTACCTAACTACAGTAACTATAAAGCAGTCACTCTAAACACATGCTGCCATCCAGTTCTAACTACCTGGTTACTTGGTGTCAGTTATTTGGTTTGTTTGTTACTCACAAATATCACCAAACTCAGACATTTTACATTCTGTATGTCTTTTCATCTTTACCAGCCACACTCTAACTGTAATTAAGAGTTTATTAAATATTAAAGGGGTGCAGATAGAGCCAGCTTTTGAATTTCTATGAATTACTATGAACACTTACCATATTCTACCTGCACAATAGCGAGCAGAACTAACACTGGAAAAATACACCATCACATAGTTCATCAAACTCACATAGATAAACCTTATTTATGATATAACAAGGTAACAAGGTGAACAATGAAACAGTAACAGTCTAAAAAAGTGGATTCTAAACTCCAATTCAGTCAGTTCTATAATTCAGTAGAACTGCAGACCCCCAAGTCTTCATCATTAAACCTCTAGTTGCTTCATTTTTCTGTTTTATATCAGATACTTTAAAGGTTTTAGTAAAGCTGCATTACCATGGTGAGGCAAAGTGCTTTTGTGTGTGTGTTGTGAATGGCTATGAAAGGCCTTTTCTTAAAGACCAAAGTTGGGTTTGAATTCGAGTTACAGCAGACAGTCGCCACTTTGAAATGGAACGCAGCCCTCCAAAGGCAGACGGATAACATGAGGAATTGAACGCGCCGTCCACCCTAGCCCACAGCAACCACCATAGCAACCGCCTAGTGTATGACCTTAAAAAACATGTCCTTTCTTCATAACTGTCAAAAATATGAAATAATTTACAAAGAGTGAAAGTGTTACAGCTGCAGAAGGCTTTGGCGGTATCTTTGGAATCTGTTTAATAATATACAATATAATGTAACCATGGAGACAGAGTCAGTCATGTGAACTAGCGTGCATGTTTACTGCAGTGAATGAGGCGATTGTGTGCACAGCGTCCACACACTGCACAGGGTCAAGACATGACTTCAATATTGTTTTATACAAAATAAAGTTGTTTACAAAACATTCTGTGTCTCCCAAATAAGCACAGCTGTTCATGTTTGTCATTACGTGTTTATTTGTAAGAAAAATGATGAACTTCACATTGTGCACCTAATCGAAGCACATTTGATAAGTCTGTTTCATTCCTTTGCATCATGAGAGCTGGAGTAAACATATATCCTGACAATTAAAGTTGAGCAAACTTCAGTGAAATCATAAAACAGTAGACACAGGTAGAAATGGGATCAGATTCATCTCTGCATAGTCAAAAGCAGATACCTCCTGTGTTCAGTCCATCATATGAAAAAGGAAACTGTAGCATGGTCCATGTGCTTTTGCATCCATGGCTAAAATGTTCTCAAGCAGCTCAGTCTCAGAAATGTCTCTAAAGTAGACATGTACAGTGTAGTGTAAGCACTGAAAGATCATAGAGGAAACTCTACCATTAATGTCAAACTAATGTTGGAGAAACAAAACACAAAGGCTATGTTTGGTTTTAAGTGAACTGTACATTAAGAGGGCGACAAAGACAACATTTATACAGGAGTGAAAAAAAATTAAGAAATGCAACATATGTAGAGACAAATTCAAAAATGAAAAATGCAACAAACATCTCAGTTACAGTTTTGGATTTTGTGTTTCACTTAACATTTGTGTTTATACTCTTGTAAATGTGTTGCTCTCATATTACACTGTGCTTTTTATTTTCAAGGCAAAAGTGAAAGAATTTTTTGGCAAATATGTAAAGCAGTTTACAATGTCATGTGCAGAAATAGTTTTGTAAATAAAAATAATCATGCAGAGCAGCAGCCTATGGGAGGTTGTTTCTGCCACTGAGGAAGTATACATAACCCAAGGTTTTATTTTATGGATGTTGTTTTTCAGTGGCAGAAACAACCTTCCATATAGCATAATAGCTAATTGCATACAAGAGCGTGTATGTTTGATTGAAAGCTGATCTTTATGAAGTGTGAAAGTAATGGTGAAATACAACTTTAAAGCCACTACAAATGAAAGATTCCTCTCTACTTGAGTTTGCAGAATTTAGTGGTTTTGACACCTGAGAAAAGCCAAAATCCAGCATAGAGCGGCTGACTGAACTTAGTGTGGACTCTGTGGAGAAGGGTCATAGTTTCAGATACACTGTAGAAGGACAGGATGCCTGCACTGTGATCCAGGTACACTCCTATTTTGGAGAAGTGAGGACCTGAGATGGAAGTGTAGCTGTTGTTGTGCCAAAATTCATATGCTTTTTCGTGACAACTCAAAGCCCAACTTTTCTCATTGCGTCCAAATTTACATTCATCCCCCCACCCTGCTCTGCCAATATTTTTGTAGGCGACTGCAATGTGAGATCCTATCCCTATCCACTCCACCTCCCAGTAACACCGTCCAGTCAGACTCTCTCTGCTCAGAACCTGAGACCATGCAGTGAATCGATGTGGATGATTAGAATAAGACTGCTGTTGGTTCATTAATGTTGCCTTTCTGTTCCCCTCTGATAAGACCAGCCATTTGTTTGCTGTGTTTGGATTCAAGGTGATTGCACGTGAATAGTTTAAGAATCCAGCTCTGGTCGTTGGCTCTGGTTTTGGAACTGACAGTAAAACATCCACTTGAGTGACTATGAGTGAGAAGTTTGACCATGTCTCACTCAGGATATCCTGTAGCTTATTTCTGGTTTCTGACACAGCTGCTTTCACATCCTCAAAGTACCTCAGAGGACGGATATTGATGCTAGATGAGTCTGTAGGCTGTCTGAGTGGTGACAGTAAAGGATGGTTGTGCAGAAACAGATTGTGATCCTCTGTGTCTATGAGCTGCTTCAGCTCAGCATCTTTCTTCTTCAACTCAGCGATCTCCTGCTCCAGCTTCTCCTGAAGCTCTTTGACTCGACTCACTTCAGTTTCTTGCTGGGATCTGATCTGCCGCTTTACATCAGAGCTTCTTTTCTGGATGAGACGAATCAGCTCAGTGAACATCTTCTCACTGTCCTCTACCGCTTTATCAGCGGAGAAACTCATTGCCCTGACCTCCAGCTCAAGCACATTCACTTCTTTCTCTCGGTCCTGGATTCTTTGCTGGATTTGCAGTCGACTCACCTCGAGCGCTCTTTGCCTCTCAGACCTTTCTGCTACAGCTGAAACCGTTTCATGGCCTTTATGTTCATCTAAAGAGCAGACATAACAGATACTCTGCTGATCAGTACGGCAGAAAATTTTCATCACCTCACTGTGAAGAGAGCAGATGTTCTCCTGGAGCCTCTTGAAGGGGTCTGCCAGTTTGTGTTTCTTTAAAAGAGCCACATCATAATGAGGCTGAAGGTGCTGCTCACAGTAAGAGACCAGGCACACCAAACAGGACTTCACAGCTTTTAGTTTTCTTCCTGTGCAGAGATCGCAGGCTACGTCTTCAGGACCAGCATAGCCCTGATAAACAGAAGCAGCTTGGAGTGCGGTCTTCTTCAGCTCCTCCACTAACTCTGCTAACATTGTGCTTTTCACCAGGAGAGGTCTCGGTGTGAAGGCCTGCCTACACTGAGGGCAGCTGCAGATTCTCTTCTTCTCTTCATCCCAGTGGGTTTTAATGCAGTCCATGCAGTAGCTGTGTCCACAGGGAATTGTGACCGGATCCTTTAGTATATCCAAACAGATTGAACAAGAGAAGCTTTCTGGGTGCAGCTGAACTCCTTTCTGTGCCATTTTACCTCTCAGCATCTGTGCCTGTGTGAGTTTCGTTTCCTGAGAACTTAAACTGCTCTGACAACTGAATGTAAGAATCGTGTTTGCGCAATACACTTCACCACATTTTGGTTACGCCCATCTCTAAACTGCAGGTCCAAAGGGGAGGGAACATACAAATGTTTAGACAGAGAGGAGCTCCGGTATTTAAAGAAGAAGTGTTAGAAGCTGTTTTTCATTCCAAGAAGAGGAACAGTACTCTGTGTTTAGGCTGCACTCAGTTAAATGTCATATATAGTCAAGTAAAGACAGCTATAACATTTAAAACAACAGCAATTGACCCAAAGTCAGATACAGACACATGAAATAAACTGCATTTCCCATACCAATCACACAGAACACATATTCTTTTTAAAATTTTTGTTCCTATAGTTTCTTGTCATAACAGAATTTTATTATATTAGTACATATTAGTATTTTAATAAATATTAATAAAGTCCACAATTTACTAGCAGTTTACTATTGCTAAATTCTCAGTTGACCCGTCATTACTAGTAATCAAGAAACAAGGAAGTAATGTAAGACAAATTTGTAATAAATAGTCATTTTAATAACAAAAATAATTATAATTGTAATAATTTACACCTAAAGTTCAAAGCACAGAACTCTAACTCTAATAGTATGTAAAAATGTGTAAACTGACAACAGGGTGACAGGACTACATAGTGTATACAGATTGAGCCTCACACTCAACACAGGAGGGTAAATCAGAGAGGAAGCAAGACACAAGAGAATAACTGAATAACTTAAACATAAGTGACAAATTCAGGGAAAACACAAAAAGACTAGTATTACGGTCATTCTACATCTGAAGGAAAATTTATTTCACTTTAAAAAGTGGGCCCTTTATCTTATAATTTTCTGTTAAGTATTTAAGAAAAACAAATAATAAACCAATTACACTATTCTTACAACAATTCGGACTATAACGAGGTAAAAACTCAATGTCCTGTGAGCTAAGAAAAGCATTTCTGATTATTGGATTAAAAATGAGGTAGGGGCTTGATTTCACAAGTTAATATTTTTATATTATGACATGTATCTGCCCATCTTTTCTTTATTTTTGCCTGTATTGTTCCTCTAAATGTTTGTATAATTTCAAACTGAACCTATGGGCGCATTAAATAAGAAAATGCTGTCCGACTTTTAATTTAATCAGTAGTTCCGGTTGGTTCTTCCACTAGTAATGTGTCGGTCGCGAACGAAATGGCTCTTAGATCCGACTCTTTGACGTGAACGACGCGATCCAACTCCTTATTGGGAGCTGTGTTTTTTTTTTTCTTTCTCTCACCCTCTCTCTCTCTCTTGCACTTTTTTTCTGCTTCGCTCCTCATGCAAGTGCTGAGCAGAGGGGGGAGGGGCGGTAGTTATACTTGCAGTAGCACAGGAACAGTGTGGAGGGAAAGAGAGAGAAAGAGAGCCAGGGACAACAAGGTCATATTAGGAAGGTAGAGTAATCATCCACAACAATTTTTAGTTCAGAAAGTTTATTCATGCAGGCCTATATGACAGATCTTTCTTTTTGCATCTTCTTTTTGTTTTGTATATTTTAATTTATATTTAGTTATGTTGTGGTTTTCAGTGTTTTGTGTTGTTTCACTTTAAATTTGTTTAAAAGGATAAGCTGAAAATTTTAATAGTTAAATTAAATTTAAATTAAATTTAATAGTTAAAAGTTGAAATATAAATAGTTGTATGTAAATTGTTGTTTTTTGCATTATATGATTTATTTACTACATTTTATGTGGAGTGAATAAATACAAGTATATTTACGGTGGCCCATAGAGACAAAGCATGTACAAACTCCAAAACACATACAAACTCCGAAGCATCTACAAACTGCAATCGGATATTTACATGTAAACATATATAAATAACCACGTTTTTTTTTTTTACATTAGTACAGTGAAACCCCGACTTACAAAATGAATTTGTTCCAGAGGGTCTTTCGTAAGTCAAAATTTTCGTAAGTCGAAGCACCTTTTTCCATCGCCTTTTGAGTGAGGCGATGCTGGCTGAAGACGAAGTTCTTGGTGGAGGAGGAGGTGGCGGAGGTTGAAGAAAGCATACGTATAATGCATACATACGTGTACATGTACATAACATTATGGAATTTAATTTATTTTTTAAAAAATTTTGAATTTTATCTACTTTCGTTACGCAGGCATTTTGCCGTACCACGGGCAGAAATATTGCTGTTAAGTGCCTTCGTAACTTGAATTTTTCGTTAAATGGGGTCTTCATAAGTTGGGGTTCCACTGTAATTCCTTTTGTGCATAACTTTATATTGTTCTTGATAATAAATTAATTAAAGCAACAAAACAACCTGAAGAGTCGGTTGGGAGTCGAAAGATTCGACTCTTTTTAGTGAGACGAGCCGAAAGAGTCAGTTCTCTAAAAAGAGACGGAATTCCCATCACTATCTCCCACTGCACTCACCGTTACTGTTCCTCGGCAACCGTGACGTCACACCTAGCGCCAATCGAAGAGCTCGCAAGACCGACGCATCTATCGCGAGGTTATCACATTAGCTTGGTTAGTTAGCTAGCTGCGGAAACCCTGAACGTGTGTCCGTTATTTATGATTTTATTTTATTCTTCTAAAGCGCTGAGAGGGCTGAGCAGTGCTTATTGATTCCCAACGCGTGCAGGAAAGCATAATCGCCGGACCTTGTGTTTGCACGGTAAGCCATGAAAACGCTCGCTGTCTGCTAACTGGTCAGGGCTGTTGCTCAGGAGGAAATGGGTTTGTTTTGAAAGCCTCGGAGAATTTTCCCGTTATGTTTTAGCAAGATTTTCAATCGTGTAAAACCAATTTAGGCATCAGAAATGTTGTGTTATTAATTTTACTTTTTAACCCGTTGCGTGTTTGATTTCTGTGCGTGTTCGTTTTGTAATATTGGTCTTATTTGCACGGTTGTCCCGTCGATCTTCGTGTAGGTACAAACTGTGACCAAGCTGTGTCAGTCTTGCTCACGTTTACAGTATTTATTTATTTGTTTGTTTTTGTTTTTTTATACTTTTCAGGATCCAATGATGAGTTATGCCGAAAAGCCAGAGGACATCACAAAAGAAGAGTGGATGGACAAATTAAACAACGTTCACATACAGAGGGCGGATATGAATCGGCTCATTATGAATTACCTGGTGACAGGTGAGGCATAGATTGAAGATACAACCTGTAAATTGAATTTACAAATTGTAAAGTCTTGTTTATCTCTTTGTGTCTGTCTGTGTTTGATTTAAGAGGGCTTCAAAGAGGCAGCAGAGAAGTTCCGGATGGAGTCTGGTATCGAGCCGAGTGTGGACCTGGATTCTTTGGATGAAAGGATAAAGATTAGAGAGATGATCCTGAAGGGCCAGATTCAGGAAGCTATTGCACTCATTAACAGCCTACACCCGGAGCTGCTCGACACCAATCGATACCTGTATTTTCATCTGCAGGTGCGTTTCCGAAAAGCTCTGCAGGGCTCTAATTTTAACGTTGGAAATAACAGTAAGACATCTGATGTAGGTCTGCTCTGCTTTGCAGTGCATTTTCTCTAATAACCTATCCTGCCATTGCCTGTGATGAGATTATGTTCTTTTTCTCCTCCCACAGGAAAAGGAAGTTATTGTGATATTAGATAAAGTTTGACAAGACAAAGCCTGAACGTCAACACTCACTGCTTCGTTTCCCCTCTTGCAGCAGCAACATTTGATTGAGTTAATCAGACTAAGAGAAACTGAGTCAGCGCTGGAGTTTGCTCAGACACAGCTGGCAGAGCAGGGGGAGGAGAGCCGAGAGTGTCTGACAGAGATGGAGCGAACGCTAGCCCTTTTGGCATTTGACAACCCAGAAGAGTCACCCTTTGGAGATCTGCTCAACATGATGCAGCGGCAAAAGGTGGGCAGGCTTTAGTCTGACTGTAAAGCTGGCCATCTATTTGACATTTATGTTGCATGTATCCAGTATTGTAGACTCTTGTGGATCTGAAATTGGAATAAGAGATCCAGCAGCCAGATGATGATCATTTTATTTATATAGCACATTTCATCACTTGAAACTCATTGGGCTTAACACATAAATTAAAGAAATTTAATAACTGTAGGTTTACAATCCCTTAAGGCAATGAAACCAGCAAAACAGAACAAAACCATATGAAAGAAAAGAAAAATGCATATAAACTGTTAGCCTGTGTGAATAGAAAGGTTTTGAATCTATTTCTAGATGTACACACAGATATAATTGATCTCAAGTCAGCAGGCAGCTTTAATTAAAAAAACAGGACTGCAGTAACTGAACGCACACTCAGTAGACTGAGATCTGATTCTGGGACCAGTTAAAAGATCTGAATCTGATGACCCGAGAGGTCTGACTGGGTTGGAGACACTGTCAGAGATGTACTGGGGGCCAAACCATTGAGAGCTTTGTGAACTAATAGAAGAATTTCAAAGGTGATTCTGTATTGTACTGGAAGCCAGTGGAGGGTTTGTCCTGTCAGGATTCTGGCTGCTGCATTTTAGATAAGCTTAAGATGTCCTAGTGGTGATTTAGACAGGCCTGCAAATAGTGTTGCAATAATCTCACCTAGATGAATGCACGGTACATTTTCTCAGTGCTGGTTTGAGATGTGAAAATTCTAACCTTAGATGTATTTTTAAAGTGACAGAAGGCAATTCTGGTAACCTTAATGTTGTGGTTATCAAAACTGAGATCACTGTCCAAAATTATGCCACGGTTCCTGACTTGCTCACTGCGTTTCAGAGAAATGGATGAAAATATGAACAGTATTTTTGGTCTCTGACTTTTTGGAACAACAAGCTTCCTGGCTCATTTCTTTTAAGTTCTAAAACGTTTTGAGACATCCAACAGTTAATGCCATCACATTATTATTTTGTGAACAGAGGTTAGATAATCACAGCTGTGTTTCATCTGCATAAGAATGACAGGTTATATTATTATTCTTTATGACAGTACCAAGTGGGAGGTGGTAATAAACAAAAGATTGACTCTTGAGCAACTCCTCAAATACTTTGCTGAGAAATGAAACATAGAAATAGGTTATTATAATTATTAATTACCAGTGGATAGAAGTCATTTCTGTGGTCATGGTGGGATTACAGTACATTTAAGCAATTAATAATATTTCCTAAATTATTTCTAAATGGTGAGACACAGATTTGAATAGTTTGATGGGGATGGGGTCAAGTAAAGAGGTGCAAGGCTTTAACTCTTAAATAACTTCTTCCAGATCTTTAGAATTTACAGGTGAGAAAGTGGACATTGATCTTGTGGCAGCAATTTGATCAGAAAGTGAGTCCATCCTAGAGCAGGGCGATATGACCAAAAATATTTATCACGATATACATTTGAAAATTTGCGATAACGATATAACTGACGATATAATTAACACTAGACAAAATACTTTACAACTCCACAACTTTATTAGTGCAAAAAAAACCCAACAACCCATCAATGTATTTTCACTTAAACAAGCAGCTGTTTTTTGTGTGCATTAAAGTTGTTATATAAAAATTTAACAGTACAAATGCAAATTCCTTGCTGACAGTTTAACCAAAAGGCATTTCCAGTGGAAGTTGGCCGACATATCCTCAGCATAACCATGTAGAATATCCACAAAACTTAAAAAGAGGTTATACACACACAATATGGTAATATTATGTTGAAGCACAGTACGTATCACTCTGCGAGGCTCCTGCCTACGATAGTCGTAATGCTCCGACAATCCATCAAGCGGTGCAGGTTCGTAGCTTAGCAAAGTTGTACTAAAACATTTGACAGAATTTCGAGCGCCGTGTACGACATAAAATCATTTCAAGGTCAGTAAACACAACCAGAATTCATACATAAGGCACACGGGATTATAAGGAGCACTGTCCATTTTCAGAAAACAAAGGATTGATTTTAAGTGTGCCGTATTTTCCAAAAAACCGGTAATAACACGGTAATAACATTTTTGCTAGCATGCTTTAGCAAAAATAGTGCTTTGTTGTGTATCTGATGGACAAAAGCTAAGCCAGTTCCACACCACTGAAGTTGCAGCATTTTTACAAACCAATTCTGGTTCATCCGTTTCATTCAACGATCCGCTTTCGCTCTTCTCATTCTCCGTCGCCGCCATGCTTTTTCTGCCATGTGCGTATAAAAACAAAGGCACTGCGCATGCGTGTTTTACCCATATTCTATTGCGATATTTCATTTTCTTATTGTTGCCCAACATTATACCGGTATTACCGTGAACGGTATGATATGGCCCAGCCCTAGTCCATCCTAGATAAATTACTTTGAAAGGCTGAGATGTTACCTTTTCTTGTAGAAAGATGCAAATTCATCACATTTATTTGTTGAAACAAATTCAGTTGGTATGGTTTTGGGGATTAAATAGTTTATCAATGCGTTAAAATGAAAAAGCAGAATTAGACTGGCTATTGTTGATCAGTTGGGATGTGAAGGGTTGCCTGGCTGATTTGGTTTCATTGGTGTAGCAGTAAAGGGCATTTTTATAGATTACAAAATTAATTTGTAATTTTATTTTGTCTGTATTTTCTCTCAGATCTCCTGGAGATTCTTTTTGCCATCTTTACCTTTTAGCTGTTTCTCCAGGGTGCTTTTGACAGGAGCAAGGCAGTCAATAATTTAAGAAACTGTATTTTAGAAGTTGTCCATTTCATCACATGATGACATTTTTGGTAATGCACCCTTTAAGAAAGTCACTAATAAATGTGTCAGTCATCCTGGCAATGACATGATGCTTATTAATAAATCAGCTTGTATTTGTTTTGACAGATAAACAAACTTCTGAAAATAAGCTGTAATGATCATAAACAGCACCATCCAGGACATTTGTGATAAATGTTGTTTATATTTTTACTCCTTTTTTCTTTGTCTTAAATTGTTTTCCCACGTCTTGGCATACAGGGAACAAAAAAAAATTCTAAATGGCAGATATAAAAAAAATATTAACTTAAAAAATAGTCCTGAGTTTCTTCAAAATATGGTTAGGGTTGCCAGGTATGCTGTCTCAGAGTGTTTTAATTCCTGTTTTGTGGAGTCATGTGAAGCTGAATATAAACATTAAGAGCGCAGTGAATGCCAGCAATAAAAATTTGTTTATTTCAATTTGACTATCGCACACATCTCGGTGCACAGGTGTGGAGTGAGGTGAACCAGGCCGTGCTGGACTATGAAAACAGGGAGTCGACACCCAAACTGGCCAAACTGCTGAAGTTGCTGCTGTGGGCTCAAAATGAGCTGGACCAGAAGAAGGTGAAATACCCCAAAATGACTGACCTTAGCACAGGCACCATCGAGGACCCCAAGTGAACACAACAGACAAGAACCACCACCTTCCACTTCCCCTTAATTTATGATCAGTCAGTGACTGTGTGACAACCAGGTAACATATATGTAAAAACAAATGCTACAGTGTTTCTTTTTTTTCATGTTTCATTCATGAGAGGTAAGACTTAACTCATTGTGCAAACTGTAAATTGCTGTATTTGCAAAGTGGCAGAAATTATTTAGTTTCAGTACAGAACCTGGATTTTTAGGTAGCTCTCAGAGACAACAAAATTTAAATTGCTGTTTTATATTTTGTCTTTTTAAGCTACGATGGTAGTATTATTTATCGTGAACATTTTCCCCACCAGACTTTACTTTGCCAGGAAAAGTTGATGGTGTGAATGAGCACTGTTGGTACTGTGCATAGAACGGGGGAGGGGGGGGGGGGTTGGGGCCCCCGGGACTGGTGAAATGAGAAAAAGTGACTATTTTTCAAGTAAATGGAAAGCTACACTTTATCTAATTTTAACAATGTAATATTTATGATTTTATTTACTCTCATTTTCGTTTGCCTCTTTTTTTTGTCAGCTTTAAAATCAGCCACATGCTTTTTACGCCGTGAAGTTTGATTGTACCTTGTGTCTATGGGATGCCTTGTAAATTCATTATTTAAGTGTTTGAGAAGGTGAAGAGAGTCCAAATGGAGTTGGTTTCTTACTGAGCTGAGGCCTTTTCTGATATCTACAGTGTGCACTGCCTCCAACATGCTCCAAATGGTTTTTCCTGCTGCACAGGTTTAAAGTTCTGGTTAAGTTCAGCCAATCCTGCATGATGATCATGCAGGATTGAGAGAAAGGGCTCCTGTATCTGGATGATGGAGCTGTCAGTTATGGCTACTGTCTAGTTCAACCCCCTCGAGTATGAAATTAATTCAGACGGGAGCAGTTTCCTTTAGTCAGTGGCTTTGTTTTAGTAACTTAAAATGACCCAAAGCTGATACTTTTGGTCCCTAAACAGGTATTTTGAAGAGTGCTATCATTTTTCCACTTTTCAAAGCCATTGGTACTTTCACTTTACCTGCATGTAAGTGTCCCTTTTTTTTTTTTTTCCAAATGGGGGAAAAGTACTTGTGTGTGTTTATTTTTGTTTGGTTTGTTTATTTTTATAAAAAGAAACAAACTTGCTGCTAGTTGTCCATCCTTAATTTCTTTTAAGGTTGTGTTGTCTTTATAGAAACTGGCTTTGACCCAGAAAGCTCACATCCCTTTTATTATTCCACATTTCTAAGCTCAGATTTGCAATTATTAAAATAAACTTTTGTGAACCATAAACTGGTTGTTTTGGCATTTTCTGAGTTTAGAGTGTACATGTATGTAAATTGTAAAAAGATGCAATAATTAAAGTTAATTTAATCAGATAAAAGTTCATTGAAGATTTTAGATTACCTGGATTTTGATTTAAAATTCATATCGAAATTCATCTGCCCTTTATAGGGGAAACATGCAAATGTTGTGTCCACTAAAACCACCAGAGACCTCTGCTGTCTGCACTGCAAATCACAACCAGGTGCATTTGAGTTTTCTTCAAACAAGTTTGACCTGTTAGGCTCATCTGCCTGAGGCTGTGAGGTTCAGCTAAATGACGCTTCTTTAGTGCGGAAAGGCTGCAGAGATAACAGATACGGCAGTGTCCTCTGAATGGCTGACAAACACACATCAGGAGCCGACAAGAAGGACTCTAATGGTTCTTTATTGGATCCTAAGATTTGTGAGCCTGATGAATGTAAAGAAGAGGAGTCGGGAGACCGAAACCTATGGCCAAGGTGAGACGGCAAAAGATTTGACTAAGAAAACGGCTAATGACTAGATTGTAGTCTGTCAGGGTATTACTGAGAGCTCACTTGAAACATGTACTCATTTGATACACTAAATGGCTGTCTTAACTCACAATGCCTTTTTTTGTTTGTTTTTTATAAGAACAATGGCAACTGGATACTAAGTGACAAAAGAAATTACATGTGTACTGTAACTATTCACTAGAAATGTAAAGACCGATATGATACACAGGAGTAGTGAAAACGTGAAAACAAAGGTACTGGTAGTTCTTTATCTTTTTTAGGTATGTTATTTAGTTTGGTGTGTTTTTACATGTTCATCTGGCTTTGTCCAGGCTCAAATGTCTCAGCAACTCCCAGATGAACTGAGATTACATTTTGCTAAAGACATCAGCTTAATTTTATCACCGACAAATGAAATTTTTCACTTAGAAGTGGAGTTTCTCAGCATCTACCAACTAGATGTAGCACCAACAAATTGACATCAGTGTTTTTAAATATATTATTTAAACTTCTTGATTATTGCACAGACTGCTGTGAAGCCCTGTATAAAGAATTATGCTGCACCTGAGATGTAATGACTTTTGTCTTTGCTTTACTTGCAAAAATATTGAGACGTCCATGAGCCTCTGGAGTGTTTTGTGTTTAGTACTAATTAACAAATATTAGCACGTTAAAGCACTAAACCAACATTATCACACCAGCACGTCAAACACCATCTCTGTGAGGATATTTACTTGCCAGTATGAGCATTTGCATTTGTCCAAGTGCAGGTGCACACAGTGGCTATAGACTCTTTGTTTAGTGCTGCTGACATCACTAGACTGGTTTTCACTCACGCTCACCCAGTTTGCTGGAAGCAGTTTACTGCAAAATCTGACTATATAAGCAAGAGCTGTTTCCCTTACAGATCCCTGGCTCGAAAATGGATCGTGATGCTGTTTATGGGCACCTGCTTCCTCTATTGTGCGCGGATGGCCATGCCTGTCTGCGCCGTCTCAATGGCTGCTACGTTTCATTGGAGTAAAATTGATTCCGGGCTGGTTTTAGGTGGATTCTTCTGGGGTTACTGTCTCACACAGATCCTGGGAGGACACGCGAGTGACAGGTAAGGATGTGATGCGTTAAAGCACACATGACTTCGCTTAATGAGCAAATAACCTTCCAGGTCTGTTTACTGTGAAGTTAGATTTTGAGTTTCAGGATGTTGCTCTGTGAATGATTGTTGTTTATTAGAGTGGGAGGAGAGCGTGTCCTGTTCTTCTCTGCATCATCATGGGCTCTGATCACAGCTGGCACTCCTCTGCTGGCCCATCTTGGCTCTCACACCCTGGCTCTCATGACTGTGGCCAGGTTTCTCATGGGAATATCACAAGGTTAGTATTCTACCAGTGATTATGTTCTAGTAAGAATGTACAATTCATTTATACAGATCAAAATCCCAAAGCACTTTACATTAAAACACAAAAAATATACATAACGGTGCAAAGCAATACAATATAAAACAACACATTTATTAAAAACTTGTCTGTGCAAAAATGTCAATTCCAAAAACTGCCAGGGAATTGCAGGTAACAAACCCGTGACGGGGGCCAAAGTGTGAAAAACGGTGTGGATCATTACTGTCACCGGATGAAACCTCTGTGAGACATTGTCCCACCCCACCATCCTGTGAGCTGTTGAGGTCACCAAGGTGCGAGTGGAAGAAACAATCTCAAGCATGGATTGTGGGTAGCCAAAACATAGTTGCCCCTGATGATGATAATGACCCATGCCTTTTTTTCACGCACTGGCTCGTGTAAATCACATGATCAATAGTGGGTTAATGACCCAACCCTCAGGACCACCTCCAAAGGGGTCGGCCCCTACCAGGGATTTATTAAAGAAGCCTCTTTGATGACAGAAGAAGTCCAGTTTGTCTTTTTCACACAGGCAACTGAATTAAACTAAACTAAAAAAGTGTAAATTTGCATGTGTACAGAGAAAAAATCGAGCCAGGGTTAAGAGTTTTACGCTGCTTTGCAGATAGTTAGGCTGAAAAGTCAGTGTCTTGATCTGTCTCCCCTTCTGTGGTGCACTGAAGAGTTGGACAGCCCAGCAGACAAAAGACTTCCTCGATCTCAAAGTAGTACAAGACAGCCACAGGAGTCTCTTACTGAGCAAGCTCATGACAGACAGCTGTCTATTTAGTTCTTTTTTTCAACCACTGATGCAAGGGCTTAAGCTGCATGCCACAACTGCAGAGCCCATTGTCATAACCAGTCTTTCCTAGTCCCTCTTAATGCTTTCCAGCAAATCACTGCATTGAAGAGAACACTCACTGGAGATTACTGCAGTCCAAGCTTGTTGTCCATCTTCAGTCTCATGCTGAACATTGAATAAGACAAAAACACTCTGATGCCTGTTCAGTAAATACAAAGTAGTGAGAGAGACTGGAAACAGTCAGTTGGTGGACGGTGGATCTGATAACCCATAGCTGGTGATGTTATCATAACTTTGTAATCAATGGTACTCCTGGGCCATCATGGGAAATGACCAATCATGTTCCTGTGATGTCAAAAGTTTCCAACAAAAAAGAAGAAAAGCTTTCAGAAATGGGCACACTGCTACAGCTCACCTGGTTGAGCAGGCTACCTATGAGTCAAAAGTTAGTCATGCATCGTCGAGCGGAGTGTTTTTACCATCTTGGTGTTATGAACCCAAACTTGGTGAGCGAGCTGTGGCTCTAACAATAAAAGAGAAGACGTCGCATGTTAGAGTTCAGTGAGCATGCTCTGCAGAATCTTTTTTGACCATAATTAGCAAAACAGACCCAATCTTTTATCCGGTGTCGCCTAAATCCAGTGATCAAACCCATTAAGCAATCAAGAAAGTGTTTACCGAGGTCACAGCTTAATTCCACATTTATACTTCTGGTTTCCTCTGACACACAGAACTCAGTCCCATGGGTTAAAGCTCTTTGTGGTAGACAAAAGGACAAAACAATCGTATCTTTAAGTATTATATTATAAAATGAGCCACACTTTAGACTTGTTTTTCCAAGCTGCAACTATGAAATCACAACTCTGTGACTGGTCTGTTGAGATGAGCAGCATAAATAGTGTGATGAAAACAACAACAAGTAGCGAAAAGCTGCAGCAATTAAGTTGTTTTATCCAGTTTGTTAGCTGCTCAAAACCAAAGTATAAAAATGGGAATTTGTGGTTTGTTTGTTCTCCTGACTGAGAGCAGTTGCTAGGCAACAAGCATAAATGTTAGGAAGTGAGAGTTCCCAGTCAGAAGTGCGAGCAGGCAGATTTTCAAACAGAATTTTTGACTTGTTGCTGGTTTCACGTTCAAAAAGTACAAAACATATCCAGCTGAGTGTTGTGCCATTTTAATGCCATTAACCTTCAAGTGTAGCCATGCCAACATACTGGTTTTGTCAGGCAGAGTAAAATCACACAAGTTCAACATGTTCAACATGGTGTTTTTTCTTTTGCTTGCTTTGTTTTGTTTTTAGTAATTGCGTGGCTATGACCTGTTACAATGACAGATGCATGTTGAGCTTGCTCTAGTTTAAGGAAGCTGGTTCCTGGTACAGATTTCATGCTACCACTCGGGAATGTGATTCATAATGTTTAGCATAAGTTTTCCAAAAGTAAGCGCAGCCATATCTGACCACAAGCTGAACTAGTCCTTCAAATAAAACCTTCAGTTCTCCAGGTTTATTAAACATATTGTAGATGGGGTAGCTCAGGCTCACAAGTTCCTCCCCTGAGTTCTGCAGGGTTCTGTAGGTGTCTTTCTTGGCTAGCATACATGTATAATAGATCTGAAACGACAGCAGTCCTTTTTCTGACTGTAAATGTAGTGAACTTTTGTGTGCACAACTGTGGGTGCAACTTCACCAGCTTCCAGTCCAAGAGGAAGAGGACAAAGTCTGGAGAGGTTAATACTCCCACACTTACACTACTTTATTGTTTGACATGTTTTGGCTTGTGGCCCTCACCAGGGACCTTGATAAAGGCTATAACACCAGAGTTTTTCTTCATTTCCTGTATGTTGATATGTGCCGCATGCTATCGATACTAATCCTGGATATAAAGGATCCTGACCACCCTATGCCAAACACCAGAATTCACCTCAGAGGGGAAACGCCCAGTGGTCATGTGCTTTTAATGTTGTAGCTGATTGGTGAATACTCTGTGAATTTAAAGTGTCTTGTAATTTCTCACAGGTGTTTTTTTCCCATCTTTGGCCAGCCTGTGCTCACAGCGTGTTGTGGAAGGGGAGAGAGGGTTTTTAATGAGCACATTGCAAAGCGGTACACATCTTGGGTATGTTTTACACACATAACAGCTGACATATGAATATACATTTATCTCTGATGGCATGCTTTTGTCTTGATCTCTGTTTCTCTTTCAGAACATTGTTAGCTGGTGGGTTGGGGACCCTGATGCTCGACCGCTATGGCTGGGAAAGCATGTTCTACAGTATCGGTTTCCTGTCCGGACTCTGGGCTCTCATTGTTTGGCAGTGTTTACTAAAAGGTACAGCAGTGAATCATGTATTCTTAAATAACAAAGAGGCTTAATATACTGTTTTTCTTTGACAGATAGTTCAAATTTTTTCATTTATTTATTTATAATTTTCAATCACTTTTTAAAGAAAACAAAAGCAGTTTTGGTGTCACAGTTCCATCCCAGATTTTATGTTGTACCTGGCTGGTTGAATGTATTCCCTGAAACGGCACTTGCCTCTGAAAGCTGCCCATCATCCACACAGAGCGGTTTGCTCCGGTTTCTTGGATGTACTTCAGGAAGTGTCTGAATCTCACCCTAGGTCTGTTAGCAAGTCTGTTCACTGAAAAACATTCCAATGAGTGATTACAAGTGGAAAATTAGAAAATAAAATCAAAGCTCATATTAAAAACAGAAGATTAGGAGTAGATTCAAAAACATCATGATAGGAATCAGTTGCCCAAATGCTAAAGTGGTGCATGGAGAAGCTGTTTGTGGCAGCTGCTCATTTCCTGAGTTCACTGACATAAAAGTTTATGTATAAATTCATGTCTAATGACTTTAAGTGTAATGACTTTGGGACTTTTAATCTGGCGTCTCTATGATAGGGATCCTTTTTTTGGATTGACATATATTTGTCTCCTGGTGATCCCTAGGAGATTTTTTTTTAATCTAGAAGTTCCACAAACTGTCTGATTTGATATGTTTGATTTGATGGGCCTTTATGTTTATATGCACTTATGCAGATAAATGATACATCCCTGCAAGTTCCTTTATAAATGTAACCTTGTTTTTAAAGAGCTCGAGCTACTTTTCTTCAGTTCTTGTGTTTAAAAATACTTTAAAATCTTCCAAAATTACTGAAAGCTACAAACAGAATTTGAAGAAACGCCTGCTATGTCATTGTCCCAAACATTTAAATATTGTGTTGAAGAGAGATATTAGGTGCAGTTGCACGTGAGGCCCCTCTGTGTCGGGTTTGCATGGACTCGCTGTGCCTGTGCTTCCTCTAACAGTCGACATTAATGTTAGGTTAACAGCTGAATCTAATTTGGCTGTAGCTGTGAAAGAAACCATGAATAGTTTTACGCCCCTCTGTGACAGTCCTGTAATAGACACACTACACTGCATTCATTCTTCTATTTATTATGGTGCGGAAGGTGATTGGCTGTAAGGTTCCAGCCATTTCCTCAATAACACTGCTTCTTTTTGTCATAAAAATTTGCCTGATGAAGGTCTAGTAGTGAAACACTGAAAATAAATATTTCTGCAAGTTAGCCAGTTTATGGAAGTCAGTCTTCAGCACTTGTTATGAAACACAGGTGCTGAAGACCGATGTGTTTTAAAGCGTTTTTGCTAGTTTTATTTACTGATATATTTATATCTCTATCAATCTCAAATGTAATGGAAGATGGTAGTTTAAGCTCATGCTCAGTGTATGTTTTAGGTGAACTTACCCCAAAGGTGATGGAAACAAAGAAGAACTCAGAGTGGAGTCTGTCAAGAATACCCTGGCTGAGCCTTTTTAAGAAACCGCCTGTCTGGTACAGCTTATAAAGTCTTTTATTTTTTCATAATTACCACCTCATATTTGTGCGAGTCTCCCAGCCTCACCGCATCTCTCTCCTCTGCTCTCTCTCTGGTCGCTATCTTCTTCTCTCTCTAAGGGCCATGGTGTTTGCTCACATGTGTATGTGCAGCACATCCTACACACTGTTATCATGGCTGCCAACATACTTCAAAGAATCATTTCCTCATGCCACGGTATTTCCACCATTACTGCTACTTAGCTAATAAGCATGGTGCACTGTTTCCTGGACCTACATGACAACCCTCTGAAGCTGTCTGTTCCTGCAGGGATGGGTCTATAATGTTGTTCCATGGCTAACTGCAATCCCATCAGCACTCGTTGGAGGATACGTTTCAGATTTCCTCATTAACCGAGGTATCAAAAAAAGGTCGCTCTTCTACTGTGATGTGTGTTATCTTGCAGTTAGAATATGTTTTATTAAAGATGTTTGAAATGTTCTGGTTTGGTATCTGTAGGATATGGTGTAGCATCTGTGAGAAAGATAATGCAGGTAAGTGTGAGAGCGTAGCTGTTGTTTGAACTGATAAAAGCGTGTGTGCGGTGAGAGAGTTGTCCTGACTAGTTACTGAAGTGTTCTTTGGGAATTTATGCAGTCTGTTTTAAACATGTATTTACAAGCCTGGCAGCTTTCATAGAACTGTTTATATGCCAGTGCTCTAGATTACTGCTGCATTATCTGCTCTGTAAGTGTAAACTTGTGTAAAAACTACAAAAAAAATTCAAACACTTGTTCTTTATGTGCACAGTTTTATTATTCTGACCAGCTTGAAGTACAGCTATGAACATGTGCATTGCATTAAGTATTGACATAATCAAACCATTAGAAATTTGCTCACCCGGCTGTCACTTTTGTTCATCGTTAGCCTGTGGACTGTGCCTTTAAATACTCACCTGTATGTCTCTCTGTCTGATCCTCAGTTTTTTGCCATGGGAGTATCAAGTATGTTTATTTTACCTCTCTCTGGAGTTGTCACATTTCCTGCAGCTGTGATTTACATTTGTGCTGCTGTGGGTCTCACCACCTTCACCAGCGGGTAAAAATGTCCGATTTATACTAAATACTCAGACCAGCTACTAATAGGTTTCTCAGGCACTTTTTACATTTGATGACCTCATTCTCACATCAGATTCTGGCTTTCTCACCATCCTCATTCTCCTTGACCTCAGTGCTGCTTTTGACGCTAGATGAGAATAGGTTATAATATGGTCAATAGACTCGGTGTGGAAAATGACTCCTGTTAATCCAAACCATCAACCAGGACTTATGTGCTGTGTTGAGAAAGATTAGATAGTGGTCTCTTGGTTCATGCCCTGGTCACCTCACGCTTGGATTATTGTAACTTCTTATATGAATCTACCAGAGTATCAGAAGTAAACAAGTCACCATTACTGCAGTGGCTTCTTGCCAAAGAGTGGAGAGACATTTGTTAGAAAGGGTAAAAAATATTCAGAGAAAGTCGTTTATTTTCAGTGCTAAAATTGGTTAAAAGATGAGTCATGACAACACTGTGTACTATAGCTAGCCAAAGTTGAGCTGATGGTCTCTAGAGACTACTGTGGCCACAGAAAATTGCATTATTGTGCAATTTGATGTTGGTTTCTTTAAATGGGGTCCCCAGAAAACAATTTAACATCACAAACAACAACTGGGCATACCCACCCTGAATGATAGGCAGTTGTGTTCAGTATATGGCCTGGGGACTCAGTGACACATAGTGAGACATATTGTTGCAATAGTGCTAATTTTTAAGGATTCTCAGGCTGTTTACCGTCTATTTTTGTTAATGAAAAAACTAACAAATGTTTTTTAGAACTTATTCATACTTCTTTACGTTAAAAGAAAGCTAGGTTAAGCAGTTTTTTAATTGACCCAACGGACTTGTGATCAAATTTAGTGATTATCTGATGGTACATTAACTAAAGTGAGTCTTACACTCCTTATTTATAGAGCAGCATGCAAATCTTTAGCCAAGGGATGCTAATGGCTAGGAATGCTAGTTTCACTCAGTAGGTTTTTAAGGAGGTGATCCTCTCAGTCTCACAGTAACCTGCTGATCTCAGTGGTTGACTATAGCTGGAGATATACAGTTAACATTGTCTGCTTAGGCCTCTTGGGAGTTGCTAAACCTGTGATACTTACAAATACAGATGTGTATTTATGGTGTGTAGTTATAGAGTAATGCTGGTGATATTAGATTGACAGCAACAAAATCGATGTCCGTATTTCAACGCTTTCTTCACACTCAACAAAGTTAACACAGCATATTTAATTGCCCTCACGAGAAACACCTTTTAATACACAGTCCAAAGCCCATTACCAGCTTTAGACACTGAATCTTACGTGGGCCATGCTGTATATGCAGAGTGTCAGTAAAGAAAGAAAAAAAAAAAGATTTGTGGCTCTGTGAGTCAGCTGGGTTGTAGGTCTTCAGCAAATGGTCCTGAAAATTCAAAATGTATTTCTGTTTTCAGTAGCAAGGCACATTTGGTGCAACAGCATGACAGTGACTCAAAATAAACTACAGTGCCCACATTTATTACCATGTGACTCAGAACAACACTGCAGCTCGCTGGTGTCTTATTTAAAAATATTGGTGCTTGACAGCAAAGCTTTGTGACACACAAAAACCAGATAATGTACCAGGTTGCATTTGTTAGTTTTTATTGTTTAGTTTCATGTTGGTTTTAGTGCTTAGAATGAATTTGTAAAAGTTATGTCAAGAGAAGTCACAAAAGACTCAAGTAAACCCCCCACAAATCTAATTTGTTCGGTAAGTTCAACTATAGATGATTGCTTAAAAACAATACTTGTGAGATTAGTTTTTATTTTTTAACATTAGTTCCCTGTAAGCAACAGATGTGGTAAATCCTATCATACTGGATAAGAAGCAAAAACCAAAAAATCACAATAGTTTGTTTTTAAACAGTAGCTGATGTGTTTGCTCCTGCTGTAAATCTTTGTTAAAATTCCTTCAAATTCGTCTGCTTCTTATTTTTCTGTTTTAGTGGTGTTTCTGTGAATGTACAGGATCTGACACCATCGTGTGCAGGCGCCCTGTTTGGTGAGTTTCTGTGGTTTTTAGGTTCTTCAAGCTGGCCCAGTGTCTGGCTTTTTCAATGTCTAATAAAATTTTCTTTCCTGCTTCAGGTTTTATGAATATGATGGGCTCTTTTGTGGGTATGTAGCCAAAGTCTGACCTTTTAGAAGTGTACAATGCTGAGCGCAGGGGCTGATATCTGATGGCTGATGTCTTTCTGTTTTGCACAGGGGTGGTGCTGGTGTCTTTATCAGGATACCTGATTGAAGTCACACAGTCATGGTCCGTGGTCTTTGCCCTCATCACTTTAGTAAATGCCACGGGTCTCGGTGTCTTCCTCATCTTTGGAGGTGCTCGCCGTGTGGACCTAGTGGAGTATTCAAGGATTATTGAGATATGACCCAGAGTAATTTATGATAATTAAGTTTTTCAGAACATATTAGTCTTTATTTATTTATTTATTTATTTATTTATTGATGAATCAGGTAATACACAATACATCGCACAAAAATGTTTATCTGTATGTATGTTTGGCCATGTTTAAAGTTCTACTTTTGGATAGTTGCAGTGCAGCCTTTGAATGGTGAGCACATGTCCTTAGTTATCGTGCAG